ACCACCAAAGACATCTTTTTTCGCTGTCCTATGTGCCACCTTTAGCTCCGCAACCATTGTCGGCGTCTCGGCACCGGATCGTCAGCCTTAACTTCGCTTAGAACGACGCCTTTAGATCTGCATTTCTATTTCGTAGATCTACATTCGAGCTTTGACAGTATTTTCATGCTTATTTTTACGCTCACCTCTATCTCGGCTAACGTTGCTGACTGGCTCTCCTCCGTTGGCTCGTTGGCTATATTCGTTGCCAAATTGTTAGTACAATGGTCAGATGTGTTGAATGCTAAGAGAAAGTGAAGAAGTCAGTGAAAAGCCGAGTGAAGCCATTATTGGGCTCTTGGGTTGCTTGTGAGCCTTTAAACACTGTCTCTCTCTTTTTATTTACAATTTTTTTTTGGGTAGTTGATATGTTCATGTGTATATCTCTCTCTCTCTCTCTCTCTCTTTATTTATAGATTTTTTTTAATAGTTGTTGATCTTTTGTTATTGTTGTTGTTGATAGATGTTGTTAGTGATGATGAAACAAATTTGTAATACCATTAAACAAAACTTCAATTATTATTATTTTTTTTTTTGTGTAGTTATTGATGAAGATGATGATGAAATAGATTGTAACACATATGGAGAGAGAGAGAGAGAGAGAGAGAGAGAGAGAAATTGAATAAGTAGGGTTTGGATTGGCTTGGTATTGCAACAGATAGGGTGGTTGAGGTCGTGGTCATGGTTGTGGTTATGGTTGTGGTTGTGTTATTGTTATTGATGATGATTATGGATATGACTATGATGATCAAAATTGAACATATAATTTTTTGTTTTTCTTTTATTTTTGCGTTGAACAGATAAGGATGAGAGAGAGAGAATAAAAATTTGAACAGATAATAATAAAATATGTTAAACATTTGAACAGATAAAAAAGTTAAATAGATAAAAAAAATTTAAGCAGATAATAAATTGAACAGATAAGTGAAAAAAGTAAACATATAATAAAATTTGGACAAATATTTGAACATGTAAGGGGAAAAAATTGAATAGATAGGAAAAATTTTGAACAGATATTCAATGAAAGTCAACAGATAAATCATGAGATAAAATTAGAAGCAAAATATCCTCCGAAACTAACAAAAGGATCTCTTATCAAACTATTTTACAAATAGTGGATCTTTCACCAACAAAAAATATTTATCGGACTTAGATTGGACTTTATAACAATTTTCTCTTTAATAAATATTTAATAAAAGAATTACTTGGTAAATTACACTCACATCCCCTAAGACTTTTGTTTAATATAGATTCTCCCCTCATGTTTGAAAAATTATATTTCATTCTCTGAGATTTGTAATCTCATTACAAATTGCCCCTTAGATAGCTGATGTTATGCCCTAAAATTTTCTAAATGAACATTTTATTTTTTTTCATACAATTTCTTCTCTCTATCATTATGACTACATTCTACAATTTTTTATCATTAAATTCTACCTGAACATATTTTTATTGAGTGAGGATATACAAACATAAATTTCATGTAAAATTTTCAAACATAGTGATATAGTTTAATGATGATCTTTCACTTTAAAACAAAACACTCATACATATGATTTAATTTACAATAATATCACTATCACAATATTTTTATGATATTTTTTGAATAAATTTTTATAAATAAATATAATTTTTCTTTTTTATTTCCACCATCATTTTTCTTTTTCGTCTATTCACCTACATTTATTACAGTATTACCGAACGTCGTCATTCGCATTTATTATAGTATTACTAAATTTTTGTATTTTTTTTTTGTATTTGGTGAATTTAAAAAAAATCACAAAAATATTATACTTCTGAAGTATATCTAGATTAGATGTATCTAAAAATCAAAAAAAATTGCTTAAAATATTAAAAAAAAATTTAGTAAAAATAAAAAAACATGAAAAATAAAGAAATTTAGGTTTTTATATGAGTTAAGCCAAAGAAGATAATTGTTATTTTTTTAAAAATGACATGAACAAAGTATCAATATTGTTTTATTATTTTATTTGTATAAAAACTAAAAGACAAATATATCATTTTAATCTGATAGGAGATAAATGTAATTTTTTAAACGTGAAAAGACTCTATATTAAATAGAAACATTAGGTATTAGTGTAATTTACCCAAAAATTAGAGGTAAAGAATTAGAGATGCCCTTACATTAGGGTGCCTCTATTTACACACCACATATCATCTTAAGATACACCGATACTTAATTCACACCTTTAATAATTTAATAAATAATAAATTTGTTCAATACACACACAATGTTCCATGTTTACCCTTAATCACACACCCCACCACCGCCACCACCTGCAACCCAGCTCTGTCGCCGGCGCTGGTGTTAGCCCCTCTCCCTTGCCCTCTCTTCTTCAAGCCACCATTGCGATCTGCCCTTCAACCTCCCTCACTTCGGATCTAAGGTTTCAAAGGGTAGAGATTTAGGGTTTTAGAGGCGAAGGGAAAAAGGAAGAAGAAGAAGGGAAAGAATGGTGGGAGAAGGGTATCGGAGGGAGGGGGTTGGAGAGGGAAGCTAACGGGGAGGTACTGCAAGGGTGGCACAGAGGGGTGGAAAGGATGACATGAAGCTAGTGGAGTGGCGGCGTCATCACTGGCATTGGCTAGGGTTTGCAGTGGCACCATAGATCTTCCACCCCCTCCCCATAGCCACCAAAACCCCCTTCCACAAAAGCATGAAAGAGAAAGAGAGAGAGCGAGCGAGAGATGTGCGATTTACTGGAAGAGAAGATCGTGAAATCTAAGTTGTGAGGGAGTGCTTGCGACGAAGGGAGAAGGTGAGAGAGACGTTGGTGGTTGCGGGAGGATGCGGGAGAGAGGTTGACAACGGCAAGAGATGGGGAAGTCACTAGCAGCAGCGGCAGCGGAAGAAGGAGCTGCTAGTTAGGGCTTCGGAGGAGAGAGAAAAGAGAGATAGAGAAGAAAAAGATATTTTGGTAATTTTCTTTATGGACATAATAATAATTAAAAAAATAATGTGGGATGAGTAAGTTACTGGTGTATAAATAGAGGCACCCCTTACATTATACCAACAAATTGGGAGCTTCTATTTGCACACACCACTTCCTCTTTATACACATCATTCTTAGTTCACAAAAAAAAAATAAAAATAAATGAATAAATAAATTTACTCATTACACATACTATTATTCCAATTATACCCCCATATCTAAAGCATACACACACAACTTTCCAATACACTCAATCCACCTACATTCCCTTACATTTTTCATTCTCCAAACCCTAACCCTAAACCAGCCACCGTTGGCAACACCATGGTCACAGTCGCCACCTCCAGTCATCACCCCACCGGTCCCTTCACCCACCATCGCAGCCCACATACCAGTCTAATCTCTCTGCCGACAACTCCTCGTCCTTGTTACTACCACCATCGCAGCGACGACATACCATCGCGACACACCCGCTGTTCGTTAAACCAAGGTCAAAAATCACACATCGATTCGACCATCAACATCCGAACAAAACACATTAGTTCGATCTTCAACATCCGAACAAAACACATTGGTTCGACACTGTACTTCCGAATCGATGTGTTTGGTTCGAAGAGGGTAGAAAGTGGAAGCGGCGGTGATTCACTTGGCGGCCGTAGAGAGAGAGTTGTAGATGACAGAGAGGGGGCTTTGACGAGAGAAAATAGGGACTGGAGAGTGTGAGCGACGAGCGATAGGGTCAGAAGGGGCTTCGATTCGAGAAGAGGGGGCTAATGGGAGAGGCAACGGAGAGGGTAGGGGAGGCAACGAAGGAGGTGATTAGGGTTAAGGTTTTGGTTGAAGAAGAAAGAGATATTTTGTTAATTTTATTTTAGAATAAAAATATAATAAAAAAAATATTATTAAGTGTGTGAGAAGAGAGGAAATAACGTGTGCAAATAGAAGCTACCCAACAAATGACCTGGCAGTACAATAGCGAAACCCCACCACACTCATCATCACTACAAGGCTACATGGCAATTCACTCACACCGGACCGGTCCGGTCCGGTCCGGTTCGGAACCTCCTTTACGATCGCCCCCATTAACCTCACACACACAGAGACTCCAATCGAGCCACGCACCGCCATTTCTCCAATCTATAGAGTCTTTGTCTCCTCCACAACACAGACCATCCATTTTTGGTCACTATTCAATCCTCTTCAATTTTAGTACTAAATGCTATCTCATCCATATCAATCCCCTCATTTTACATTTCTTCTCTAAAGGTATCTTCTTCATCACTCCTTCAATCTTTATCTGTCAATATCTATATGTGTTGTTTAATTGTTTGTGTTGGTACACGTTGATTTGTGTGAATCTGCTAATGGGTATTGGTCTTTTATGTGTCTGATGAGTTTTTTTTTTGATGATCATCTGATCATCTTAGTGCCCTTAAGACACATTCGCATAGTTTTTTATTTATTATTATTATTATTATTTATCAATAAGATACACTGAGATTTTCACGAATGATCTAGAAAAAAACGCAATATTGAGAAGCTTATATACATACACAGATATTTACTGTTGTTTTGATGAGATGTGAACTATCAGAGATATTGGGTATGTTTGGTTTGTGTTTGAGAGATGTGTTTTAAAGATAAAAAGTACGAAAAGTTGTTTGGTTTGATTTTTTTCAAAAGATGTTTTGGAAAATTATTTTGAGAGAGAGTTTTGAAAAAAGTGATTGATTAGATGTGTGTGAGAGAGAGATTTGTTTGGAAAACTTGTTTGGTTTACAAGTTTTGAGAAATTTTTTTGGAAAAATTTGTTTGGTTTAATTACTTTTAAAAACTTATTTGTAGAAAAAATTTTCCAAAAATTTTTTAGAAATACAAACCAAACGAACCCAACGTGTCCAAATAGAAGCTACCCAACAAATGACCTGGCAGTACAATAGCGAAACCCCACCACACTCATCATCACTACAAGGCTACATGGCAATTCACTCACACCGGACCGGTCCGGTCCGGTCCGGTTCGGAACCTCCTTTACGATCGCCCCCATTAACCTCACACACACAGAGACTCCAATCGAGCCACGCACCGCCATTTCTCCAATCTATAGAGTCTTTGTCTCCTCCACAACACAGACCATCCATTTTTGGTCACTATTCAATCCTCTTCAATTTTAGTACTAAATGCTATCTCATCCATATCAATCCCCTCATTTTACATTTCTTCTCTAAAGGTATCTTCTTCATCACTCCTTCAATCTTTATCTGTCAATATCTATATGTGTTGTTTAATTGTTTGTGTTGGTACACGTTGATTTGTGTGAATCTGCTAATGGGTATTGGTCTTTTATGTGTCTGATGAGTTTTTTTTTTGATGATCATCTGATCATCTTAGTGCCGTGCGGCCCAGATGATGTTGTTCCGATTTATTTTAGTTGCAGATTATGATTAGAAAGTGATTTTCTCAGGCAAAAGTTTTGAACTTAATGTTTTTGTTTGTCTTATTTTTTCCCTATTAATATCGTGAATGATAAATTTATGCATCATTGGTGGTATTTGGATTAAAGAAGATATTTTTCAAGGTTAGATTATTATCTTTTTTCTTGAGCTACATTTCCTGATGGCTTTGAAGTAGTGCTTGTTTGGTTATTTAGCGGATTGAAGGTCAATGATGGTTTTTTTTGCTTATGATTGCTGGATGAAAATTGTGCATAGAATTTTATATGTTGTTTAAACTGGATACAATGAGATAATGCTTGTTTTACTTTTTGGTTCACATGATCTTTTTTTTTGTCTTTGATAGAGATGTTGAGGGAAGGGGAAGACCTAAACTGATATGAGATGACGCATTAAAATATGATTTTATTTAACTGAGCATATAGCCCTTGATAGTGCAGAATGGCGAATTTTTTTCCATGTAGCCGACACCACTTGATTGGGACACAATGCTTAGTTGGGTTTGGTCTATTTTGCGTAGCAACTATAGGGAATGAAATTGTCTTTATGTGTTCTACGATCATCTGATTAGAATATAGGGATACAGTTGAACTTGCGAGAAGATAGTAGAAAGACAATGTTGTTAGAAAGGAGAATGGTGAAATAAATAAAGAAAGAAGGTAGGAGAGGGAGATCAAAGATGTGAAGTAATGAAAGACAAAAAGAGCAAATAGATAAAAATAAGAGATTAGAGAGAAAAGATATATAACAAAGAGAGCCAAAGCTATTTCGAATTTTCAACTTCTATTCATTCTCTGAATTTGCTTTTGTTTTACGACAATAAGGCCTATATACAATTTTCATAAAACCTTAAAAATACATAAATATCCTCGAAAACTAGTCATATACCTAATATTACAAAAATTCTATCACTTAAGCATCTAAAACTCATAATAAATGAAAAAATAACAAGATTATTTCAAATACACCTTATATTTCTTAACAACTCAAATATATCAATTGCCATTATTGCTTGTCCTATCCTATATCCACTTGTCTGCATCATTATTATATTTGCATATATATGTTATTGTGTTCTTTTTTTTTTTTTTTTGGGATGAATTTTTATTGGGATGGAAAGAATGAATGAGGGGTATGATACTATTAATTTTAAAAAATTTTGAGGCCCAAAGAAGGGAAGCTTTCACTAATATGCTGCTGTTTTAATGCATATCATATATCTATTTGTATTTTCCCTTTTATGGGATTTTAATCAGGTAATGAATTCATGATTGAACATGAGGTGCTGTTTCATCCTGAAATAGCTCATCCAAAGTTCCATGAGTTGATGGCTCTTTGGAAGATCTTCATCTATCCTATTTGAAGTACAAAAAATCACAGAAAGATTTGCAAGTATAAATTTTGTGTGACTGCTTTGTGAAATTTATTCTTGAAGTTGTATTATATTATATGTCATTTGGGATTCAACCGACATTGGCACTAAATAGGGTTAATTACCCTGATCTTGAATCAACTAGTAGAGACTATGAACAAAGAGGCCTAATTCACTCTCTAGATGAGTTGGGAGCTGGAGCAGCCCGTGGGTGACCATAGTAGTCCAGCAATCCAACACTATTTTATCCTTTTTCTTTTTCTTTTCTTCTTCATGAATGATGAGATGCCTCAAAAAAATTATATCATCATGATGTTAATCTTTAGGAGCAATAGAAGATATATTATTGGAAAATTTTTTGAAATCCTGGTCTCATTGATTGGTATATCAGTTTTGGACACTTTTTAATTTAGTTGGTTTGCTTGATATTGTCTGTTTATTTTTTATTCTCAATCTTCTTACCTGTTATTTAGGTCGAAACTTCTAGGTTTATATTATTCATTTTCCTTTATAATTGGAGGAGAAAGTTAGAAAAGGTCTCTTTTTGTATGGGAAAAGGATGCCAGATTTAAGAGGTGGAGTTCGTAGATCTAAGAGGGTCAACAATGTCCAGGAGAATCCTGCTGTTTTAGTTCCAACTACTCGGCATGGCATTGGAAGAGGTAATGGCTCCAAAGCCGCAGTCCTGAATACATATACCAGGCCAAGGCTGGCTGGTAGAGGCAGAGGTCGTAGAGCAATGAATCAAAATAAGAATGCTGAGCTTTTTGATACTGGTGGTGGTGATGAGAGGCCCACTGATTTGAATGGGGAGGCGAGAGCAGTGGCCGCTATTCCTAATGAATTGGCAGCAGAGAAATTGGCTGCTGTTGAGGAGGAAGGAAGCACAAGTCCACTTCCTCAAAGGGTATGATTTAGTCAGCCTTTGCTATCATCAACACTTTTTATGGTGTTAAATTTCTTTTCGTTTCTAACTAACATTAGTTTTTCTTTTTCCTTTTTTTTATCAATTCTATACTTATTAAAATTTACGAGCTTATAAGCAACGCAAGATGTGTAACAAATAAACCATGAAAAAACTATCTACTGGCTTTACCAAGTGACAATTTATTTATTTATTATTTCTTTCTAATTTTATGTTGACGGCATAGGGGACAATAAAAGGTGAAAGCTTGGGCTACCAAGTATGAGAACACTGTTGGTGACTGAGTGAAGTCATCTTTTACAACTATTGCCAAAGATTAGGGATTCAGTTCACCCCTCCTGACGCCCTCATTTGATGGGGATCAGCACCAAGGAAAATGACCTTTTTACGTTGATAGCATGCTGTTAGTAAGAATAATTTTAATTGTTCTATCTCCATGATCAAATTTGAAGCAACAGTTCTTGGTTTTGAATGAAAGAATCAGTTTCTTTAGACAAAAATTCGTGAAAATTTAATTAGTAGGACATTGCAATATCTGTCTAAATGTGTGCAGAAGATGAGAACAATGAAGATAGGTCTAATTAATATTGTTCGGATGAACTCAATAGAATTGTCTTGAGAGTCTTGAAGTTGAAGCCTACCCAACAAATTTTTTAAGACATGGGTATATTTAGGTTCATTGAGCTATTGAGAGCAAAGATGGTGGAATCTGATATCATATAAAGTATGGGATTTCTTATTTGTTTTGAGAGTTCTCAACACTCCAAGTATGCCCTCAAGATTATTTTCTCTCTTAATCCTCTCCCTCATATTATATGGAAAGAGATCAGCATATCTATTTGCCTGCTGTTTCTTCAATAAAATTCTCATGAGGTTGGGTTGCATCAATGACAGATCTAACTAATTATGATTTTTTCTTCTTTGAAAAATGACTTAGACAAGATTTAGAAAACTGATTAAACCAGTGGGTTCAGTCACTTACTAGTTTTCATCAACTTCTGTTGCCTTTTGGTAATCAAATTTTAGAGGGTTCACTATCTTATTTTGTTTTGATTGTTTCAATTTCATTCAGGTACAACTTGGCAGTTCCCCTGTTTACAAGTTAGATAGAAAGCTGGGCAAAGGGGGCTTTGGGCAAGTTTATGTTGGAAGACGGGTGACCGGTGGATCAGGGCACACTGGCCCTGATGCTGTTGAGGTATATAGTTTGTGAATTTGTTCTCATGGCTCCACTAGATCTCTGTAAAATTTCTTTGAAATTTATTCCGATGGTTATGAATGTGTCCCTTATTTATTTTTTTTTTTATTTTTTTTTTGGAAGGGGGGGTGGTGTCAATAGGTTGCTTTGAAATTTGAGCATCGAAATAATAAAGGATGCAGTTATAACCCGCCTTATGAGTGGCAAGTTTACAGGTATGCAAGAATTCATTGGTAAGGTTGATTGAACTCCATTTTGCTTCCCTTACTAATTCTAAATCACTGGTTTCGAAGTCTTATTCTTTATTGCTGGTTTCTTCATGAAGCACTCTTAATGGTTGTTATGGAATTCCTTTGGTCCATCACAAAGGTCGCCTAGGAAACTATTATATTCTTGTGAGTTTTCCTTCATTTTCTTTCGCAAGTGTATGATTTCATTTTGAAAATGTTTCTTGTTCTTTTTTATTTTAATTTTCATTGCTGACATTGTGAAAATCATTCCTACTATCATTGTGCTCATTATATTGGGTTTTGTGAAAGCCAGGTTATGGATATGCTAGGCCCAAGTTTGTGGGATGTTTGGAATACTAATAACCAGATGTAAGAAGATAGTATCCTTCGTTTTAATTGTTCATATGTTAATATTTGTTTCTGTTTCTTATTGTGTTAGCTTTTTGCACAGGCTGTCTGAAGAGATGGTTTCTTGTATAGCAGTGGAGGCAATATCAATCTTACAGCAGCTTCACTTTAAGGGGTACCTCACTCTCTCTCTCTCTCTCTCTCTCTCATATGTATATATGCACATGTATTCTGAGCATGCTCATAGTTAATTTTTTCTTCAGTTTTGTGCATGGAGATGTAAAGCCAGAGAACTTTTTGCTTGGTCAGCCTAGAACTCCTAATGAGAAAAAGTTGTACTTAGTAGATCTTGGTTTGGGTATGTCTTCTTTCTGGGAAATAAGTTTGGATATGCTCAATTCTTCACGTGCTTTTATGGTTTTTGTGTTTTCTAATTTGGAGCTGGAGATCTAAGTGGTCTTACTACCTCAGCTTCAAGATGGAGGAGTTCATCTTCTGGTTGCCATATTGATTATGACCAAAAGCCTGATGTTTTCAGGTAACTCTCTCTCTCTCTCTCTCTCTCTCTCTCTTCGTGGAAAGTCATGCTTTAGAGATGGTTCCACTTCCACAAAACTGGTACCCCCGTTTTTAATGGCATTGGAAACCCACAAGAAAAACAATGATTCATTCAAGTAATTCTCAGAAATGAAAGATATATTCCACTTTCTAGACAGCTTTGGTGGGCAATTAGTTTCAGAATTGATTTGCATACGATGCCTCATAGGTTCATGTTAAGCTATACTTAGGCTGTTAGCAAGAAAGTGGTTCGTACCATATAATCACGTGTCTGAGAATGGCATTTTCTTATTTTCCTGAACTCTATATTGTCTATTAAGTGGGCCCTGAACTCTATATGTTGACAGGGGGACAGTGCGTTATGCAAGCGTACATGCTCATTTGGGCAGGACAGGAAGCAGAAGGGATGACCTCGAGTCACTAGCTTATACTTTAATATTCCTCCTTAGAGGGAAGCTTCCCTGGCAAGGTTTCATTGTAAGTTCATTTTTAGTTTTATCATGCACTGCCATTTGCAACTTTGTTCCTTTAGGTAATGTTTGGTTTGTTGGAATGAAGGTAGAATGGAATGACCATTCCATTAGAATGTCCATTCTCATGTTGCAATTGGAATTCACCATTGTAAGTGAATGGTCATTATTTCATAAGGAGGCTAGGAATGATCATTCCATTTCACTCCACCTTCATTCCAATGAACCAAATGCTACCTTAGTTTTTTTTTCTTTTCTGCTTGATTACAATCAATGGTGGATTCTTGGTATGCAGGGTGACAATAAAGGATTCCTTGTTTGTAAAAAGAAGATGGGGACTCCTTCTGAGATGCTTTGTTTCCTATGTCCTCCCCCTTTTCGACAATTTCTTGAGATGGTGACCAACATGAAATTCGATGAAGAGCCCAATTACTCAAAGCTTATTTCACTTTTTGAAGATGGCATAGATTCCAATGCATCCTTGCGACCCATCAGAATAGATGGAGCCTTAAAGGTTGTTGTTTAGCAATCATCTAAAGTTAAATGAGTTGTTTCTATTGTTTGTGATTAAACTTGTCATGTGTTATAGGTCGGTCAAAAAAGGGGGAGCTTGCTTGTGGATTTGGAAGATTGTGGGCAACCTTGCAAGAGAGCTCGACTGGGTGCTCCAGCTACTCAGTGGATCTCAGTCTATAATTCCAGATCATCAATGAAACAGAGGTAATTACTGGGATTAAGCATCATGGACTACCTAAGTTTCTTACCTCCCCTCCAAAATAAAAAAAAAAAAAGGAAAGGAAAATTTATTCTAGGAAAAACATCTCGAAAATTCTTGGTAGCATTTGGTAGAATTTTCTAAATATGATTTGAGAATAGAGTTGTATTTTGAGTTTGTAAGTTTTGGAATTATGATTTGAGTGTAGAAAATTTGTTTGGTTATGAATTTTAAAAAGAGTTTTGAATTGAGTGTTGAATTGAGTTTTTAATGTTTGATGTGACATGTGAAATAAGAAAATTTGTTTGGTTGTGAGTTTTGGAAAGAGTTTTCAAAACTTAATTCAAATTGTTATAACTCATAACCAAAAACACTACTCAAAACTCTATTGAAAATTCTGTTCAATAAGCAAACTCTTTTTAAAATTCAATTAAAAAAATTAATTATTAATAGAAAATAACATTAATCAATTTTTTTAATTGAAAATATTACAAAGGCAAATTTTTTTTTTTTCAAAATAAATATTCAATTGCTGATTTGAAATAACTTTTGATTGTATATTTGGTTCGAATTTTTTTAAATGTTTTTCAGTTAAAATATTTTTATATTTTAATAATTACTGTCACAAATTATTTGCTATTTATTGTATTGTTATTTTCAAATAAATGGCTAAAAAATTTATCAGGTATTATCTACGTGGGAGTCAAATAAAAATTAGAATATTATTTTGTTAGCATCTACACAGTTTACCACACACAATTCAATTTTATTCAAATTTTTTTATTCACTTTCAATAGAAAATTAGTCTACAATAGCACATACGTATGTATGAAAGAGTTACCAAAAAAGAAGAAAAAAAAGAAAAAAGGCACACTGTAGTGCTCAACCGGCTGGACATCCGGGGGGATGTCTGGGGGGATGTCTCGTAGACACAAAAAATTCAAAAACTGTATGAGAAGGTGAGAGTTTTGCATTGGACGTTTGTTTTGAAATGAGCTCTGCCAAACGTGAAACAGAAATGTATTTTGAAATGTGTGGTGGAACTAATTTTTGAAAACCCCATCCAAACACTTTGTTCACGTGAAGAGGTAGAATTATAATTGGAAACCTGTACCAAACACAGCCCTTGTTTTTTATTATAAATATTTAACTTTTGCTGTCTTAATTTTCTTCTTCTGTTAAGAACTTTGAAGTTACTCGAACATTTACACCATGTGAACACCTGGGCTTCTAGGGTCATTGTGGTGGGAACCACGATTCTCTCTCTGTTTGAAGAAGCTCTTGCTTGGTCATGCATGAATTTCCTTAGGCTTTGTTTGGAGCTTAAAAAGCTCAAATTAAGCTCTGGTTTTGTCATGTATGGATTCCCGTAGATTGTATCCTCTCCATGTTTGAGCTTATTTTTAGCTTTTCAAGCTGAAAACCTGAAAAGAGGAACAAAACATCTTACCTTTTTGAAGTACAACTGCTTAAGCATGTGATTTCAAAACTTAAGCTAGATAAACTACAAATAATTGGAACAAAATGGGGTATAGGGGTTCTATTGACATTTACTCTATGTGGGACTAATGCTGTCTTAATCAACAAGTAATGTGAACTCTTGATAACAGATATCACTACAATGTAATAGATTCGAGACTTTACCAGCACGTGGAGAAAGGAAAGGAAGATGGTTTGTACATTAGCTGTGTTGCTTCTTCAGGAAATTTGTGGGCGGTCATTATGGATGCAGGGACAGGTTTTACATCCCAAGTCTATGAACTCTCAACCATTTTCATGCACAAGGTAGGTGTTATGGTCCTTTTTGTTACTTTGGATGATTTAATTAATCAAATATCCATTGGCCCATAAATCTATTCGTTCTAAATTTTTCATTAGGAATGGATAATGGAGCATTGGGACAAGAATTATTACATCACATCCCTTGCCGGTGTGTCCAATGGCAGTGCCGTGGTGGTAATGTCTAAGGGTGAGTAAAAGAAAATCTGTCTTTATCGTTTCAGGCTTTGTTATCACTATACCTTGCAAAGAAGTAGAGCATATTAGATGATAAAGTTTGATCTCGTGAAAATCCCAAGGGGTTGGCCTGGTGATCCTATATGTTTTCTAAGTTTTTTACTAAAAGTTTTCCTTAATAGGGAAAAAGTCAAATATAATGAACTAAATCTAGACGGAGTGGAGTTTTGGATTGACAAAATGCAAAATAATAGATCATAATACTCATAAAAATGTGTTGTTAAAACAATTAATTTGAAAAAAGATACACTAAATATATTGGATGTTAAATTACGAAGTTTACCTCTATCATATCATATTTTAGAGCATGTGACATACGGCGTTCCTTTTCTAGTTCCCATTCCTTGTACCAGTACCAAGACCCATATTGTTCGCATGTATGTTGTATATTGTGTTCCATTTGCTGTTCACACAAAATAGTCTGCGTTTTGGGTAATATTTTTTGATGAATTGTGTTTGAATGTGATCAATGGGATGGTAGGAACAGTGTTGAAATTGCATTTTTGGGATTATCATGATCTGATTCTACAAATTGGTGAATGGGTTTAACCTAAATGTTTCAGTCATGTATATAAAAGGTAAAACTTCTGACAGGAAATAAATTCAACTTTACAATATGGCTTGTCACAAGAAAAAGACAAAAATTTCAGTGTAGTTACAGTTGCACAATTCATTCTCTTAATCCATGATCAAATTGCAAGTTTGTCTTCAACCTCAGGTCGAAAGATTTAAATGATTAACCCACTGATATTGCTTTCTTTTTCTTGTTGAAGGGACAAGTTATACTCAACAGTCATACAAAGTTAGTGATATATTTCCTTTCAAATGGATCAATAAGAAGTGGAAAGAAGGCTTCTCTGTTACCTCCATGTCCACTGCAGGTAGCAGATGGGGTGTCGTAATGTCCCGAGCTGCTGGTTATTCTAATCAGGTACTCCATTATTGTTTTCTGTTACACCTAGCGTCAAAAACACTTACATAGTTTGTACTTTCTTTATAGGTTGTTGAACTTGATTTCCTTTATCCAAGTGAAGGAATTCACAGAAGGTGGGAAAATGGATATCGAATTACGTCAACTGCTGCCACTCCGGATCAAGCTGCATTCATACTGAGTACATCCAAGAAGAAATTGGAAGATGTAACGCAAGAAACTCTGCGGACATCAGCCTTTCCTAGCACCCATGTTAAGGTACCTTTGAATTCTTATGATTTTATTCTCCTTGCAGTTAGAACTGTGGATATAAATGGTTTCATTCTTCTAGCACGCTATGTTACATGGACTTGGGTGTGATTATCCGGTGCGGGTGCATGTCCAAGCATCAGATCTTCTTAAACTTAAAACCTTAAGATATTGGATATTCATTCAAAAGTTGGGTATGGGTAAGGTGATACATTTTTTTTTTTTTGACAAATAGGCTAAGGTGATACATGTTGAACACATATACATTGTATATTGTATAATAGTTTAGATAAGATGTAAATTATTAAAAATGTAAATCAAATTAAATGAGATTTAGAGGGTAGTCTCTAAACCTCGAGTTCCTTTCGAAGATGGGTCCAAAGGGCTCTGCCTAGGATGGGTTCTCGGTCATAAAAAAATGGTAGAATTTATATATCCCATTTGTGTTAGAAGCTAGAAATGTTTCTTTACTAGCAAATGTGATTATCTTCTTCTTCTTCTTCTTCTTCAAACATCATATAAAATTAGATGATCCAAGTGTCTAAATTGGGTACATGTGTCAGACATATATCCTAGACCCTTACACTTGTCATATCCAGTGGATATGGGTACACTAGGGGAAGTAGAAAAGTCCATTTAACACAGCTAGCACCCATGTTAAGGATCTTTCCACCATTATTTTGATTTGCGAAAAGAGGCATAATATGTGATTTTCCAAGAGCATCATTTATTGTTTGGGTGTTCATGGGCTGCTGTTGGTAGAGGACCAAGGCAGTTTACCAATCTTCTGAAAAATATGCTTTACTAAACCGGACATAAACTCAACTGAATAGATCCTCAATAAAACTAGATGTGGTGGTTACATAAATACCTCTCAATAATTAAAAGTGAGGACCAGTTGCATCACATGGGCTGAAGATTCATTATGTAGTTCGTTAAGGTTGTGTTTGGATCATCAATTTGGGCCTTTCTTTTGTCCAAATCCCTACCTAGATCGATGATCCAAACACAGCCTAAGTGAAAATTTGTTGGGAATTGACTGTAATGTTGTAATAGAAAAAAAAGCATTCAAGCGTTTTGACAATTGTACCTGTGCATGCATAGATATTTATGTTGGGCAGTCAAATGTTTTGGTAGAATTCTCTATATGAAGCACATACAAAGATGTGTGACATTTTCACCAAAAAAAAGAGTATCACACGTGCAAAATATTTAATTATATATATATATATATGGGTAAATTACACTTACACTCCCTGAGATTTGGGTTTAATGCATATCACCCCTGATGTTTGGAAAATTACATTAACCCCCTGTCATTGTAATTATTTAGACGGAATGAAAACATTGAACTCATACACTCTCTTTTTTTGCTTTACTTTACTTTCTCTCTTTTTTTTCCTTTCCTTTCTTTTTTTTTTTTAATGTAATTTCTTCTGTTTTTCTACTACGAGTTGTTACCTTTCATATAAGCAGGAGAGTTTGTGAAATGAGACTATTAACCACAGGAGTGGAAATGCAATTTCGAAAATGTCAGGGGGTGGGTAGTAATTGGACCAAACCTCAAGGGGTGTCAATGTAATTTACCTTATATATATATATTTTACGCTAGTGAAAAAATAAAAAATAGAAAAATAAAATAGGAAAGCGTGTCCCCAATGTGTCCATCTAACACCCCTAGCTTGTCTAACTGGAAAAAAAAGGAGGAAACTTTTTCCAGTATGTCTGAAATGTGCTGCCAGTATGTGATCTCCAGAGAGGTGTCAGTGCTTCGTATAGCTCTTTAGTGTAGTTTATAATAATTTTATTGATTTGTTTTATTTCCATGGCACCTATTTAAAATAATTTAAAAATAAAAATGAAAAATAAAAAATAAATTTGTAGCATGCAGTGACACTTGCTTTTGTCTTTGGCAGGATAAATGGTCAAAGAATTTGTATATTGCATCCATCTGCTATGGGAGAACGGTATCTTGAAGTGTAGGAACTGAAGAAACTGGTATGTTACCCTTCGTTCCAATGTTTTATGTATTATTTATTATTTATCAAACCTTACATTATATCACAATTTTATCAACGTCAAATAAATGGTTGATGCTAAGTTTGTTTCATGTTTAAAGCAATCTCAACTTCTTTTTATTCTGGTTTCATGCTTGCGATCCATTTGTATTTTTTTTAAAACTAAACCAAAGCAAGCCTTGTATTCTAATCAGATGGGGTTGGTACATGGATTATTTTTTGCCATTGTGCTCTATCAAAGGTTATTGATGAGGACAGCCAGAAAATAAATGTAAAGAAAAAGAACAGAAAACCACACCCAAGGAAAAAAAAAGAAAAAAGAAAAAAGAAATCCTAAATATCAATATTTTCAATTCAATATTTATGCCTAATACATTTTGACCTATTTATAGGCATCCAAGAAAACCATAACTAAAATTTTCCAAAATAAAAATTACAGTAATTAAAGACTAAATAAGATAATCAAATAAAACGTATTAAATTATTGATGAGAAAATAACTTCAAAAATAATTTCTGATCTTCATCCAATTCCTTTTTGTTCCATATCTGTTATATGTGCTGTTTAACTAAATAAATTCATATCCTTTGATCACATCAGTTTTATTACCTGTTGCATCTACAGATTTACGCTGTACATGAACAAAACATTTTAGCTGGCTCTCTATCAACTTATCTTCAATTAGTGCTACCTCCTATTTCGCAAATACTCATTTTTGTCTTATCTTTCCTACCACGCATCCATCTAAGCTTATGTATATTTTGTACCATGAAAAAATTTGGTATATTGCCAATTATAGTGAATATGCCTGAATTAAATTCACAAAGTATGCATCCTTTTGAATTTTTGGACTTTCAAATAAATCTTGTCTCACTATACCCATTACCTCAGATTTGCACAGCCCATGGCATCCCGTCTATACTGGCATTTACTGTTTCCATAGAACAGAGTTGGCAATAAATTCATATCCTTTGATCACATCACTTTTATTAACTGTTGCATCTACAGATTTTCATTGTATATGAACAAAACATTTTAGCCGGCTCTCTATCAACTTATCTTCAGTTAGTGTTACGTCCTATTTTGCAAATATACTCATTTTTGTCTTATCTTTCCTACCACGCATCCATGTAAGCGTATGTATATTTTGTACCATTAAAAAATTTGGTATATTACCAATTACAGTGAATATGCCTGAATTAAATTGATGAAGTGTGCATCCTTTTGAATTTTTGGACTTTCAAATAAATCTTGTCTCGCTGTACCCGTTACCTCAGATTTGCACAGCCCATGGCATCCCGTCTAAACTGGCATTTACTGTTTCCATAGAACAGAGTTGACGATATTTGATTGCAACCTTGAAGTGCTGCATCTATACCAATCTTACTTCAAATGAAAAATGGCTTATATATTTTTTGTAATTTCATTTAAATTATTCTTGTGATTTTTATAGACCATTTTAATATGCATAGGTTGGCTGCTTCTGGAAAAACCCATCACTGCCATTTTGAGGGCATAGATTAATAAAGCTGATTACAGAAGTGTAGAGTCGCTCAAACGTTGAACATATACAGGAGCTCAAAATGTGCCCGGTGTAATGGCCTACTTGTTCCTGTTTGCCTCCAGTTTGAAGAATGGTCTCTAAGATGCAGTTCAAAAGCCAACACGTCTATGGACTTTCCCCTAGATGTAAGGAAAGTGATCTTTTTTATTTTTATTTTTATTTTGTGTTCTTTTGGGTTTGGTTTATAACTCAGAAGAAAGAGCCCCATAGAGCCATGTCAAATTACAAAAATGTTTTGTTTGTGCAATTACCAACATATATACAAGTATATATATATAAATCTGAGTGGGTGCTGCACTAAAATTTCACCCCAAGATAATGTTATGTGGCCTTTCTAAGCACCAAACATCAATTGTCATAGCAATTTATTTATGGGTAAATTACATTGACCTCCCCAAGTAATGGAAAATTTACATATCAGTCCTCATCTACAATATTGATTTTAACGATGTTCATGGATGTGATGCAATTACTATATTATCCTCAGATATTTAGTAGTTAGATATATACAGAAGTCAAATGATAGAACTATTCTCTCTTTTACTTGATGAATTTATCTACTTACCCTCTCCACAAGGTGTGTTATTCAAACATGAAATATGAGCGTTTGGATGCATGCGATGTTTGGATATAAGAACAATCAAGCGTAAAATAGGTATGGGCCAAATTGTTATGGAATTTATACTGCAAAAGAGCATGATGTAATAATTATGTCAAAATTATAGTTACATGTGATTTATTCATTACTTGGTTGGAAGAAGTTCGTGTAATTTACACTTCATTTACAAAAGGAAATGCTGTAACTGCCTAATATGTGAGAAAGTGTATTGGGATTCTAACTATTTAACATTATTTGCATCTTAAAAACAGTATGGGTTGTCATTAAACTGACTCGTATAAACAGCTCGATCGCGGTCTGGGATTTTTGTAGCGTAGATTTGGCCTTGGATTCAACCAAAATATAACTTGGGGAGGACATGAGAGAAATTTGAAGTGCTAAAACTGTTCAAGCAGGATTGATATACTGAAGCAAATGTTCTGTTTCTCTGTTGTGTTGGTGATTGCTTCCTGCTCAGACAACCTCTCTCTCTCTGCGGGGGGACCGATTGCCTGGGAAAGTATCTAGAGTACTCGCTTAATATGAGCCTACACTTATAATTTTGGCATTACCTTTTTGACAATGACCACTGAAATTGCTTCAACTTGCCGAATACTAACAAATTTGGTTTGTTACAGTGTCAAAATCATATTTTAACAATAATTAATGCCCCAGACCCCCTGTACTTCCCCACCCCCAGTGACCTCCAGCCCCACGTGGGGGTGGGTGATTGGAAGAAAAGAAAAGAAAAGAAAAGAAAAAAAAAAAATTGGCCAATGAAATGCCAGTGGGGATGACCTCCACTGGGGTCCCTAGCATAGTAGTTTTAACAACATTGTTTTAATGGTGCAAATGTCATCTTGACAGATCCAAAACATTGCATATTTCTATCTATTGAATGGTTCACATCCAAATGATTGAATAAAAACTCTCTTGGCACAAATAGCATTGCTAAATGCCATTTTTTTGACAGACTACTCTTTCTTGGGTGGAACTACAGACAACTGGAATTGTTCATACAAGATCCTTCTACTCTCATCCAGTCGATGCCTTTAGATATATACCCACTTGGAATGTAATCCGCGTCATATGCTCCTATTAGAATATGGAATGCCATGAGATACATATAATAATTATAGGGTAAATTACAGACACTCCCTAAATTTGGATTTACATATCATTTTTTGACGCTTGAGAAATTACATTCTCACTCTTTTTGGTAGAAAAACAGAAGAAATTATATTTAAAAAAAAAAAGTAAAGCAAAAGAAAAAAAAAGCATAAGAAGAAAAACAAAGCAATAAAAGAGAGCGTATAAATTCAATGTCTTTTTTATACCAACGTTAATTTCGTTTAAATAATTACAATGACAGGGAGTCAGTGTAATTTTTCAAACATTAGAGAGTAATATGTATTAAAGTCAAACATGAGTGGGTGATATATATTAAACTCAAATCTTAAGGGTGTAAGTGTAATTTGCCCATAAGTATAGCATGGGTACCTCTGTCTCACACACATACATATATATGTATATTTGTTTATAAAAAATCCAAATTTGTATAAAGTTGTCAACGATTTAGGTGCATCATTTACTGGGTCAAAACTGTGCCAAGCCAACCCTAATCCATGATCAACCAGTGGTACATTGATTGTTCTATTTTTCCAGTTGTACCTGTCTCAATTGAATATTTGTAAAGATGTGACGTGTTTGTATCTAAGAGTTTGTTTGGCATGAATTAAAAAAAGTTTATTTATTTATTTATTTATTTTTTTTAGGCTATATAATTTTTTTTATTATTTTTTTACACATCTTTTTGTAAAAAATAAAAAAGAACACTTATTTAAATCATTTCAAACAATTTCTAAATTAGATGCTTAAATTCTCTATTTTTTTTAATATAATTTTTGAAGAACAAAAAGCAGTAAAAAAAATTGTGATGTGGACAAGAGTCAAAATCTCTTTCACTTAATTTTATTTAATTTCAAGTACATTCGTAATAATTTAGGATTTTTATATCAAAATATCCCACAAGTTATCATATCCCATTTAGAAAAATCTAACATTTGGACACATCTGCACTTAACGAGTCTATTTAACTTTCATTTGGATGTGAGTTGATTTTTTAATTATTTTAATTTAGGAATAAAATATTTCATTTGGAATAAATATTTTTAATTTTTGTCAAAGAAAAATAAAATAATTATAATTTAAATGTAATATTTTATTCTATTTAAATAAAATAGCCAATCCATTCAAACAAATAAAATAAAATAGCCAATCTTATATCATATGAGTATTTTAACTCAAATAAACGTGCCAAACATAACCATACCAATGGTCAACCATATACCCAGCTAGCCAATGTGGACCATTTTAGTCCTCAAAAGCTGCCCAACCACTTGCATTGGACCACATGCTCATATTTACTCATGTGTACATGACACATACATACCTATAGTTCTTGAGTTGCATATCACATATTCTCTCCAGAAGGAAAAACCTTTGTTCTAAGCTTCACTAGTAGAGAAAGGGTTTTTTGCGTCGACTTTTTGTCGTCGCAAAGTAAATGGACATCAGTCACTGGTGCAACTCAGGTACCAGAAGCATCCGGCTAGGACGGCGCTATGCCGAGCTTGAGCCAGCAAACTTGTCGGTCCCTGTAAGATCACGGAGGCCGATGTGGAAGTTGCTGTGGAGAAGGTTCTTGAAGGAGAAGAGGAAGATGTTTGACTGTTCAGTGCATATGCAAGTCCCTTATGATGAAGACACTTATGCACAGAATTTTGATCAAGGGTTGATATGGGATGAGACTGATGGGCTCTCTAGGTCCTTCTCTGCTCGTTTTGCTGATCCCTCTAGGATCCTTCTCAAGAAAAGAATGGTGTAAAGAGTTTGTTTTGATGTTTGTTTGTGGAAGCTTAGTTTTGATTTCCATAAATTTTGATATATGATTACATGTATAGGATTCTCTATCACTAACGCTGTGTTTGGTTAGAGGATTTGAGAAGGAATTTAAAACGGAAAAAGAAAAAGGTGTATAAAATTAGGTGAAATATAGATATGCTTTATTCATATTTTACCTACCTTTTCCATTTCAGTTTCAACATAACATAAATCTCTTTGTCTTTCCGTTCTGAAACATCCATATCCATTGGATCATGTCTTTGAGATTTTTGCAGCTCAATTTTTTATCTTTTATTTTTTATGATCTAATAATCGTGTGTGTTTAGAAATAGTGAGTGTTTAGAAATAGAGAGATGTGGGGACAGAAAATCCTTAGCATTTGTTAGATTGATGTCCATCCATTTCGTTTGCTTATAGTTCATGTACAAATTAGTTTTAATTAGATAACTTTAGCTAAAATATTATATATATATATATATATATATTTTTCTTGTCTATGGTCCCATGTTCTTCTCTCTTTCTTCCTCATGTTTCTTCTTTTTCTTTGGTTTAGTATTCAACTCTCTTGAACTGGTTCCTCTTCCTCATTCTCTATGATGGTTGCAATGAAGAGTTGGGTGGTTTGTGTAGAGGGAGGGAAGGAGGAGGAATACCCCCATAATGTCTGGTAAAGAAACACTCCATTCACCTAAAGCAGCTCCATTCACCTAAAGCAGTAGGGGTGGGCGCGGGTCGGTTGCGGCCACGGAACCTCCAATCCGCCATCCGTCCGCCAGATCGCCTTTATCTGAAAGTCTCTAATAATATTCCTTCAAATTGAGAAGCATTGTTATGAAGAGTTGGGTGGTTTGTGTGGAGGGAGGGAGGGAGGAGGAATACCCCCATAATGTCTGGTAAAGAAACACTCCATTCACCTAAAGCAGCTCCATTCACCTAGAGCAGCACACAGTTGAGCCGAGCTTTGTAGGACTCGAGCTTGGGCTGTTTGTTTTGCTGAGCTTGAAAATTTAACTCGAGCTCGGCTCAAAAATTAATCTAGCTTTGGTTACTAATCAAGTTTGAGCTCAGTTTGAAGCTAGAAAATGAATTTTTATTTTTATTATTTTTATTTATGTTATTTAATATATAAATTATATATTTAAAATATTATGTACACACAATTTTACATTATTTAAATAAAAACATAAATGAACTCTTATTCGAGTTTAAATTCGGCTCCTTTTATTAAATAAGTCTAACAATTTAATTTAAATTTATTTATTTACTTAATGAATCGAGCCAAGCTAAGTTTGTCGAATCATTGGTAGGCCTACATTCACTGGAATGTACCCTTTCTTTTCTTTTCTTTTCTTTTCTTTTCTTTGAGTACCTCATTACAATTGTTGTTGTTTGTAGAATTTGACAAGAGAAATAAGTATTCTGACCAATATGAAAAACTAAATCTAGAAAAATTGCAGCCATATGTGAGAAATTCTATGATGAGATGTGAGTACAGTTTAATTTGAATTTATTTATTTACTTAATAAATCGAGCCAAGCAAAGTTTGTCGATTCATTGTTAGGCCTACATTCACTGGAATGTACCCTTTCTTTTCTTTTCTTTTCTTTTCTTTTCTTTTCTTTGAGTACCTCATTACAATTGTTGTTGTTTGTAGAATTTGACAAGAGAAATAAGTATTCTGACCAATATGAAAAACTAAATCTAGAAAAATTGCAGCCATATGTGACAAATACTATGATGAGATGTGAGTGATCCAATTGTTCTCAGTTTTTTTTTACTTTATTCACGGCAAAGTTGGGATGCTTCAACAAGAAGATTGTTAAAATTGGGATTTTATATGGAATTATTGAGAGAGACTTGTGAATTGAATCATAGAATCCGATTGAAAATGACAATATTTTACTTTTAATGCAAAATTATTAATAATAATGT